CTACCACTGAGCCATCATCATCGTCATGACCCCTCCATATGTCAGCATTATGCTCTGCCGTTTACAAGTCACTTTTTGATACAAAGCCCAATACGATACAGATGAAGCTACTCTAACAATTGCTGCTTTTGTATATCCTGAGCCCTGTTTCACATGCTTGAAAACTTTCCACTGCCAGCAGCCTGAAGAGGATGGAACCTGCCACAGGAGCCAGGGCAAGCCTTATATTTCAAGTACTTTGCTGAGGCTTCTAATCTTTATCTTAAATCTTTTAAAAAAAATAGTGATAAATGTTTGGTTAATGTTTGGTTAAACCACTGACCACTATCATCTGAGTTTAAACAAAAGTCATTGATACAGTTTTATTTTCTGTTTCCCTTTGTCTTTTCTCCACATATCCCTTCTTTATTTAGTATTTGACCGACGCTTGAGAAATTGGGATTACTCCTAAACTAATAAACCTGTAGTGTGACAATGGAGTAAAACTTCCCTTAAAAATGGGAAGCATAAAAATCAAACATTCAACAATAGTTATTACTTGGTATGGGTCTTCTTGAAAAGATCTGTTACTCACAAAACTGCTAATCTTTTGCTCCAAAAAGCAGTATCTATGTTATTCAAAACCCTGTTATTTCTAGATTACCCCAAATAAAAATAGTTCGCCCACATCCCCAACCTTACTCCAAGATCTGGTGATCTAATCATATCTGGTGTTTTGATTGGTTTTGTCCCAGATTTTTAGAAGTTTGGATTGGATCGCTGTATAGTTCTGGTGAAGGTACAAACCTTTATGGACGTTGAAGTTGTTGTTCTAAGAAACAGAGCTCTGGTCCTCATCTGGGTTTCTGAGGTTTCCCTGAATCCCGTTTAGGAAGAGTGAGGTCTTGGGACTGCTTTCCTCCTGCCTCCGCCCTCTTATACTTCCTGGGTCAGATTAAGGGATTTTTATGAAGAGCACAGAGTTTTTAACTCTCCCTCTTTACTCAAAATTTGGTGGCTTGGAGAGCAGAGGCTTCATCTCAAAGGGAACGCGTCCTTTTAGTTTGTAATGCCGTGTTGGGAGGATGGAGGATTATTCCAAGTATCAGGTCTTAACTGACTGTACTTCAATTAAAAAAAAACCCAAGAAATGCAAAAAAAAAAAAGTCTCAATTAGCCCCTCTTGGCCTAAGTGGCCTTGGGCTTAAACAGTTACTTCCACAGCTACCTTGTCATTCTTCATGGCTTCTTGACCTGGGTTTTGTAGCAAGTGATAGGAGACAAAGCCCAGTTTGGACTGCTTTGACCTTGGTGTTTCCCTACATTGTGGACACAACTCCTGCCCCATGGTTTAAGAAATATGAAGTTTGTATGTGGATGTTGCTTCTGCAGCTTGGCACTTCCTCCTCCTCCTCTGCTGTGTCCCAGTGGCCGCCCGTGGTGTCAAAACAAAATGTGTCTCTGGTTAAGGAGAGCCCCCTTGCCAGGTCAGCAGATTCGGGGCCCCAGAAGTCAGTGACGGCTTCATCCTCACTTTGTCTTTTATTTTTCCTTCTATTGATCTTCCAGCTTCTGACTATGGGCTGTTTCTCTCGGATGAAGACCCTAGGAAAGGAATTTGGCTGGAAGCGGGCAGAACACTGGATTACTACATGTTGCGAAATGGGGTATGCTGTTTATCTTTTTTTTTTTTCATCCCCTCGTCCCTAGGCCTTCCATAGAGGCCAGTATGATTATACTTCAAAGAAAAGGAGAAGCTCAACAATCTATTTTAGTTCAGAGGCATCTTATTAATAGCTTTGATGTAATGTACTTTGTAAGAGCAGTCCAGGTTAGTGATAGAAAATATCAATGGTCCAAATTCCTGAAACTCCACACAGTAATTAAAGCAGCATGAGGTTATGATTTTAAGCTATTTCTACATGCTGTTGTTGAACTTGGTCATTATGAAATACAGCATCTTCCTCTAAGTATGTTGAAAGTGCCCTGGTGACTGGTGATAAAAAGTAAGGATACACTAGAGAGGGGCCAAAAATAGAATCCTAAAGGTAGTCAGAGGTTAAATATTAATCAGTGTTTTGCTTTTATACAAGAAAGTTCATATTTGATGTAAGTTTAATAACGTCAGTAACAATAAAACAAAAAAATGATTGTGTTAAGGAAGTAGGAAAAAGTAATGAGTAAAAAAGAGTTCACGGGTAACTAGATTCAATAACTTATAATAGTTATTGAATAACCCCTAATGGAAAATCATCTGAAAAATATGTATATAACTGAATCACTTCTCTGTACACCTGAAATTATACTTCAATTTTAGAAAAAAGTTTTAAATACTCTGTTCAGCTTAACCTCTGAGATGTACTGTGGTTTTGGTATATGAAATAGACATATCAGATTGGTCATGTTCCATAAGTGAGAGTGAAGTATGTGGTGCCAATTAATTTTTCCTTCCATAATTCTGTTTTTAAGAAGTAGTGCGGAGGGGATAGCTCGGTGGTAGAGTGTGTGCTTAGCATGCATGAGGTCCTGGGTTCAATCCCCAGTGCCTCTGTTAAAATAAATAAATAAATTTAATTACCTCCACCTCCAAAAGAAAGAAGTATAGTAAAAGGGGGAGTCTCTATTTGGTAATAACTCTCAAGCTTATTACCCCTGTTTGGTCTTGGCATTATGGTGGAAACCACTTCTGCTGTGATACACCACTACTGTGAAGAATTACAGGGGTGTTACTTGTGTCTTTCATGGCATATACATACTAAAAATTGCTTATAACTG